ACTATGTCCAGGTAGTTAGTATCAGAATTGAAGGTTATGTCCCCTGCAGAATTTATTTGTTGAAGTCCTCACCCCCAATACCTCAGAATGTGACTATATTTGGAGAGGTAATTAAAGTAAAATGAAGTATTAAGGCAAGCCCTAATTCACTATGATTAGTGTCCTTTTAAAAAGAGATAAGGAGGCCGGTTCACGGTGCACACCTGTAATCCCAGGGGTTTGGGAGGTGGAGGCAGAGGGATGAGAGTTCAAAGCCAGCCTCAGCAATTTAGGGAGGCACTAAGCAACTCAGTGAGACCCTGTCTCTAATAAAATACAAAATAGGGCTAGAGATGTGGCTCAGTGGTCGAGTGCCCCTGAGTTCAATCCCTGGTTACCACCCCGTGCCTCCCCCCAAAAAAAAGAGAAGAGATAAGGATAAAGATACAGAGAAGCAACCATGTGAAAACACAGGGAGGAGATGATCTTCTACAATCCAAGAATAGGCCTCAGAAGAAAACGACCCTGCTGACACCTTGATCTTGGACTTCTATTCCCCAGGACTTCAAGGAAATAAATTTCCAATGTTTGAGTCACAATCTGTGGTCCTTTATTTTGGCAGCCCAAGCAAATTAATACAAAGATATAACTGCAAAAATTAAATTTTTCTTCCACCAAAAAAAACCCCTATTTGAGATAAACATATTTGTGTGATCTTCATATATAGGTGTAAATCACTAGCAGTTTTTATTCTAAGAAAGTTGAACTTTCACCTAACAATTATTCATTGTAACATCCCTCCATGATTTTTTTTTTTCCATACTGGGGACTGAACTCAGGGGTGCTTTACCACTGAGCCACATCCCCAGTCCACATCCCCCATCCTCTCACTAAGTTGCTTAGGGCTTCACTAAGTTACTGAGGCTGGCTTTGAACTTGCAATTTTCCTTCCTCAGTCTCCCAAATCAGTGGGATTACAGGCATGCGCCACACCATGCCCTGCCCTCACAATTTTAATAACTGGATTTTACATTTGTATAGTACATCAAATTCAAATTTCATTCATATTTGCTAGTTCATCTGATCCCCTCATCTTTTCTATGAAAGGCAGAGACAACAAGAAGCAAATCCCATGGCCTGGGTCATGGAGCTTTCCATTAAATCCCAATGCTTTCCAAAATTTTAGTAAGGTGCCCCATTTCAGTAAAAACAGAAATAAAATTTACTTTGTATCTATACTTACAAAAAAACTAGTATTTCAAATAATGGAAAAGACATGCTTAATCTAAATAAAATAGTACCTTGAAATAAATTAATTTTTAAAAAATAAACAGCCATTATTTTCTAAGAACTTACAATTTGTCAGGCACAGTTTTAAGGCAAGTTACATGAATTAATTCAATCCCTCAAACCTTGAGGTAGGTACTAACTGTATTTCTAAGACACAGAAACTGATGAGTACTTTATCCAAGCTAGTAAATGGAGAAGCCAGGATTTGAACCCAGGAAAGACTGACTCCAGAGCCCATGATCTTAACCACACCACAAAGTGAACCAGGACACTAGCGAGCATAAGTTTTCATAGTTTTGAAGTCAGATGGGCTTAAATTTAACACAGGCTCAGCCACTTCCTAAGTGTTATCTAGACAAGCCTAATCTCTCTCAGATTTCTCATTTAAAAATAGAGATAATTAAGTGGAACAATGATGTAAAACCATTAATTAGTACAGTATCTGGTACTTAAGGTATACTAATTGTTAAGCCCTCACTGTTACTATTGCTATTACTTTGAAAGATATACAAAAACAATACATTGTTTAATTTGGGAATTCCAAGCAAAAAATGTCAAAATGTCCTCCTTTCATTGAATTTCTTTACTTATTATTCTAGAAGTGCACATATGATTCCAATAATCTCATTTCCCATAAGGAGTTAGGAAACAATAAATCAGATTCAAAGTTCTATAAGTCTTAATTAACAGAAATGCCTAATAACTTTGGAATGGACATAGCATAATTAAGACTTCAAGAGATTCTGGACCAGGGCTGGGTTGTGGCTCAGCAGTAGAGTGCTCACCTAGCTGTGTGAGGCCCTGGGTTTGATCCTCAGCACCACATAAAAATAAATAAAATAAAGATATTGTGTCCAACTACAACTAAAAAATAAATATTTAGGGGAAAAAAAGATTCTGGACATAGCTTAAGCATCTAACATCTAAAAAATCACCAAAATATTTAACTTTTATTGAATCTTTTAAAAAAACTAAGTTCATAACTTCTCTGGGATTTTACAAGATGGTCATCTTCTTGCTTATTTATCATTTTACCCCTTATTTCAATCTTTAAAGATTTTTTTTTATTATTCTCACTCTTCCTGATTTCTGATTTGATCATATTTTCCTTCAATCTCCATTTTCCAGATAATACTTCTTTTGTAATCATAAGAAAGTCAGTTCTATTTTCATCTACTTCTAATTTCTCTGGATCTTTCTCACTAATTTTTTGGTGTTGGAGATTGAATATGGGGCACTTGACCACTGAGCCACATCCCTAGCCCTATTCTGTATTTTGTTTAGATACAGGGTCTCACTGAGTTGCTTAGAACCTCATTTTTGCTGAGGCTGGCTTGAACCTGCCTGAGTCTCCTGAACTGCTGGGATTACAGGCATACACCACCACGCCCGGCTCTTTTTCACTTTTGAAGCTTTGTTTTTTTTTGAGATGAGCCAAGAGTCCTCACTAACATCTCATCTCTTAGATCCTTCATCTGAAAGATGAGAAGACTGCACTAGATAAGTTTGTAATAGGGTCCCTTTTATCCATAAGCCTCATATTTCCCTGGTCTTCCAAATATCTAGAAATCATTCAGTAATCTTACCATGCATGGTGGTACATGCATACAATCCCAGCAACTGAGGAGTTTGAGGCAGGAAGATCCCAAGTTCAAGACCCTGTCTCAAAAATTTTTAAAAATGTATAAAGGGCTGGGACATTTATTAGCTCAGTGGTAAAGTGTCTCTGGGTCCAATTCCAGTACTAAGGAAAGAAAAGAATAGAATAGAATGAATCATTCAATAACCCAATAATTCCCCTAAACTTTTACTGTCAGTTAGCCAAAGGAGTCATAATGTTTAAGGCTAACAAAGGAAAAGCATGACATTTTGTGAATCACCAGAAAAAAGATGGATTGATAAGAGAAATCAAACACCCAAAAAGATGCCAAAGACAGGGAAAAAGTCAGAAGCACATAGCCTAACTTTAACCTCTTCTCCTTACAAAGATTCAAAAGGGCAGTAAGAAACAGAAAAAGCTTTTAGCAGAGTACAGGTCATCCAGGCCTAAATTCTGACTTAACAGAGGGATGCAACTCTGTGCCACATATGCAACATTATGATGAAATGACCTACTACAGTGCGGTGCACAAAATTGGCATTACCTGGATATTCTGTGACTGGATTAATATCCAGCTGTACTGAAAGACTTTATGAATGCTACTGGTACTCCTATATACCAGAGAAGGTAAGCACTCAAGACTATGGAAAGTACACGGCATTGGCTGCCCTGGTTCTATGGGGAGGAAGACTGAGCAAGCTGGGAGCAGGGAGATTTGGCCTTCAAGTATAGCTTAAACTCTGAGGATAACATATGCAGTCCCCAGAAGGAAAAGGACATATTAACTAGGTACAGGGAATCTTTACACCACCAAAACAATGAGAATGTAAAAGTCATTTCCTGCCCTAACAACAGGATCCAAAAAAAGCCCTATCTTTTCTCAAACTGCCTTCCACAGAGTCAGGAGAGGAGTAAGTCAATAAAAGGATAAAGTTTGCTAGACCTGGTGGCACATGCCTGGAATCCATGCGGCTTGGGAGGCTGAGGCAGGAGGATCACTTTCGTGTTCAAAGCCAGCCTCCGCAAAAGCAAGACACTGAGCAACTTAGTGAGACCCTGTCTCTAAAATAAAATACAAAATAGGGCTGGGGATGTGGCTCAGTGGTCAAGTGCCCCCAAGTTCAATCCTAAGTACAATAATATAATAATAATAATAAAAATAATAATGTTTTTAATATGCCCAGCCCAATTCAATGGTGGTTTTTCAAGGTGTGGTCCCTAGATCACCAACAACAGACCAAGAGAAAGTGTCTGCTTCAAATGCAGACTCAGAGACCTATAACAGAACTCTAAAATCAAACTTCTGAGAGTGGTGCTAGGGTACTGCAACCTTAACAGAGAGCAACCTTGTTTTCAGAACGACTGCCTGGATTTTAAGAGTGGGGTAATGGGGGGTGGGGGTGGGTACTGAAGGTGAAATTCTGCTTCAGAATTCATCATATCTGATTGATATTCCAACACTGTTTGAGGGACCGTTAAAAACTCCATTTCCCAGGTACCAGATGCAGCTAATGGTTTAACACGAACAAGGACAAAATTAAAGGACTTGGAAATGTATTTCCCTAAGCTTTACATTTCCTTCAAAGGATGATCTTGTTAGTTTGTTTACTGGATCCTTCTTTTAAAATCGATCTAATCCAAGAATTTTCACAAAGAATCACAAATTCCAAAACAGAAGAGGTTTTCTGATAACGCCTAACTGGGCTCGTAAACCCGAAAACAGTGTGTGCTATAAAAAGTGGGATTTCGTTTAAAAGAAAATTACAGGTTAACGCGCTCTCCAGTTCTTCAACCCGAAGAGCCTCGGAAGACGGCGAGTCATTTGTGTGGCAGGAAAAGAGACTTCGGAGCAGGGGTGAAAGGACCGAGCAAAATGCACTCCACTCCAGGCAGAGTGCAGGGGGAAGTCCGACCAACTACATTATTTTTAATGGCTCAATTAATTGCCAAGGCAAATTAATCGCGCCTGCAAACGCGCTGTCCGTGAACACTCCGGGGTCCCCGTCTTTCCTCGGGCGGGATAACCCACCCAGGCCTGCGGCAAGCAAGTTGTACTTCGGCCGTCCCCGGACGGTGTGGACCTCCTGGCCCCAATGCGAACCCCCGACGACGCCCGACCCTCAGACTTTACCCCGCGGACCGCGACAGCGCCCGTCACCCATCTTCGACGCTTCTCGGCGCCGGCCGAGTCCGCGGCCTTGCAGTCCAGGGTCAGGGCCGCCGCTGGAGTCGACCCGCGCGGCGTCCAGAGGAGAGGGCCCCTGACACAAAGGCAACCCTGGGCCACGCCCGACCCGTCCTGCCCGCCAGCCACTCACTCGTCGCTCCACGCCGCGCTCCCGCGCTCGGGGCCGGAATCCGCCCGGGAGGCGCGCGCAGGCCGCGCCTCCACCAGCTGCCGCCGGGACCGGCAGTGCCGCAGCGGCGCGCGCCCCCCGCCCTGGCCGGCGCGGCCACGCGGCTGAGTCACCGGGCGCTTCAAGTTAAGAGTCCCCTCTGCGCGGGGCACTCTGGGAAGGCCGCGCCGGGAGCTCCCCGCCCCCGCCGCCCCGCGGAGGTTCCCTGGTGTTCGACTCCAGTCTACCCCGAGCCGGAGGAGGACGCGCCCACCCTACTCCGCAGGGTTGGATTCGGTGTCTGCGCTGCGGAGACCTTCCTTCAATTATGGCAGGTCTAAGATGGGAAAGTTAGTCGTTTTCTGAACTGTAACACCGGCTCCCACAGCCCTCGGACTGCTGACGCTGACCGGAAGATGCGGAGCTGCCACCTCCCTGTGCATTCGCGGGGTGGGGGTGGAGAGGTAGTAAAATTGAGCTCCTTAAACACATTTTGCTTGGAAACACCTTCTGGATATGCATTCTGGTCAAAAGAAAAACAATATATATTCTTTTCTCAAAATAAGAGTTTCATGAAACTACCAGCGATAGCCAAGTTAATATTCAAATCAACTGGAAGCGCTTACCTTGAAATGTTGTTGAGGGCAGGACATCCCTTCCTCTCCCACTCATATGCCAAGACAATCTCAAAACTGACTTTTTAAAGTACACAGAATGCTCAGTTTGAGATTCCAGAATCAAATTAAATTCTGTAAGTAGAAGACCTGTAAGACGCTGGAATGGGGTAACCAGGAAATGTAGAAGTGTGTTCCCCTGGGCTCCTGCGGAGGCTGAGCGTAAGCTGATAACATGTTTATCTCACTATCCCCTTACTGGTTTGCAAACAGACTCTGATGGTCCTATCCCACGCGCCAGCCCTGATGGCTCACGTTGCCACTTGTTTGTGAACATTGCCACTTGTTTGTGAACACACAGGTCTCATTCTTGAACCCAATTCTGAGAATGCTGGGAAGGTTTTTGTAACTTTATATGAGTTTTAAATAAACGTCATTTGAAAGGAAAATAAGTACACAAGCTCCAAAGCACATTTGTCATATTAGGACTTGAACCAGTGAACTTTAGGCTTACAAAGACTTGGGATGCCCACAGGCCACCACAAAAAAACACAAAACTAGCTAACCAACCTTCCTAGCTTCCTTCTTTCTCTTCTTCCCTCCCTCCCTCCCCCTCTCTCTTTTCCCTCTTTCCTTCCTGTTTTCTTTTTTTGAGTGCTGGGAATGGAACCTAGGGCCCCATCCTAGGCAAGTTCTCTACACTGAGCTTCATATCCCCAGACCCATTAAGTTCTTTTACCTTGATCCATAACTGAAAATATGCAAAGTCTGTTTACAAAGCCTGTGTCCTGGTTTCCAACCTTCACTAATAAACTTCAGAATGAAAAACAAAAGATAACTAGGTAGGTTCAAAAAGCTTCCTTTGCTTCTTAACCAGGAGCCTAAATAAAACTTTCTCCTAGTTTATGCAGAATTGTGATGCCCACCTGGAAATAAATTAGTGTTTCTGAATGTACAGATGAAACAAACAAAAAAGCATGAAGTGATATTCATATTCATAAAGAATTTTTTTTGTACTTGGAATTGAACCCGGGCACTAGACCCCTGAGCCACATCCCCAGCCCTATTTTGTATTTTATTTAGAGATAAGGTCTCACTGAGTTGCTCAGCGCCTCGCTTTTGCTGAGACTGGCTTTGAATTTGCAATCCTTCTGTTTCAGCCTACCTAGCCACTGGGATTACAGGAGTGCGCTACCATGCCCCCCTCATAAGGAATTATTGATAGAGTAAATAAAATATTGGCAAAAAGAGCCAGATGACCTCGAACTGAGGCCATTCCACCTCTGACTAAACAGATCACATGGACACTTAGGTTTCCTAATCTGTAAGATGGTAACTAACCTACATTTGCCATCAGGTTGTTAAGAAGAAGAAAAAGTAATCAAAATGTATGCAAAATATTTTATACCCTGAAAACATTAGAGAAACTTAAGATACTATTAGTGTCAATACTATACACACATCCCATTCAAACTAACATCTCTGAAAGGAACACCCAAGAACTCTTTTGTTGGGTAAAATCATCTTCCCTTTTGCCAACCTTAATTTTTTTTTATGTCAAAATTTACTGGTTTCCAGGTTGGGGATATAGCTCGGTTGGTAGAGTGCTTGCCTCACATGCACAAGGCCTTGGGTTCAATCCCCAGCATCACCAAAAAAAAAAAAAAAATACACACACACACACACACAGGTTTCATGAAACCTGGCTTAGTGGTGCACACCTATATTCCCAGCGACTCAGGAGGCCGAAGCAGGAGGATCATGAATTCAAAGCCAGCCCTAGCAATTTAGCAAGGCCCTAAGCAACAATCCTGTCTCAAAATAAAAATAAAGAGGGCTGGGGATGTGGCTCAGTGGTTGAGCACCCCTGGGTTCAGTTCCTGGTACCAAAATAATAATAATATTTAAAAACATATATGTATTTATACTGCCTTCCTTAACAAATGTCATGATGCAGATTGGTAGAGTGCTTGCCTCACATGCACAAGGCCTTGGGTTCAATCCCAAGATTGAATGAAAATAAAAATATGTTACAATTGTAAACGAAAGCTCGGTCCTTGTCCCCAATACCAATCCAATAATGAGGACTTGGTTTTAAGAAAAAAGGAAAAAGAAGGTCTATTGCTTTGTTAGCAAAGGAGAAACAGGGGACTCCTGTCCCAAAGGATGTGATTTTCCTCATCCGGAGGGACAGGGGGTTTTTAGAGGAACTCTTGAAGGGTTACATTCCAGGTGTGCTCTGATAAGGGGTCCCAGTTCATGTTAATTTGGGAGATAATTCACTTCCCAGATCCTCGCAGGCATCTCCTTTCTGTAGTAGGTATGTTCAAAGGCAATTAACTAGGGGAAGAAAAAGTAAACACTGTCTCCTTAATCTTGTTAGGGAGGAGGAGAGTGGAGAAGAGAGAACAACAACAACAACAAAAAAAATGTTCTTTTGAAAAATAAGCCTTAGAGCAATGAGGGCTATCATCAGAAGATGAAGAGACCACTGTTACATTTCCCCACTGTTAATTTCTATCCTCCAGTTCTACAGAAAAGTGGGTGAGGACATCTTCAAGGTACTTCCTGCTGAGAATGGGCAACCAGAGGGGTCTTTATAATGGAAGGTTTTTACTTGTTGTTGTCACTCTTTCTTCTGTCTTTGGTGGCATAGTTGCAAAGGGAGGAGCCACAACAAAAAAATAAACAGAAAGCTAGTACACAGAGGCACTGAGGTGGAGGAGGCCTAGTAAAATAGACTTAATCCCTCTTGGTATCCAGGAAAAGAGGCCAGAGAACCAATCAGATATGCCTAATTTCATCCCAGCCAAAAGGGATGTGTGGTGGTCAAGGGTTTTTTTTGCAGCCAGGTTGCTTGTTGCCTGATCTTTTCAATACTAGTCTCTTGTGAAGTGGTGTTAATATAAACAAAGCATGATCTGTTAGCCTTAGCACAAACTCTCCTTTGCTCTGCTAACAGATGGTCTAAAGCCATTCTGTTATCCAAAACTACTTTGGCCAAAGCGTTCAGAGAGGCTTGTGAATTTGAAAGGGACAAGGTTGTTCATTGGCCAGAATGATCAAAGTTTTGGACAGATTTCAGAGGATCCAATCATGGGCCCCATCTCCCCACCAGGGTAATAAAATGTAGCCAAAAGAAAATACTTATTGCCATCAGGGATTCCCCCCATGGGAGGTCCCTAGCCGGTCAAATAAGGAGCTTTAACAAGCTTGTTCAATGAGCAGATTCACTTAAAGAGTGAATTGAGAATGGTGTCACTAAATTTCCTAGAAAACATTGGGTGGGAGTTGTGAAGTTTGTGAGGCATCAGTAGCCCACAGATAATTATTCATCTTTCAGCTAAACACATGTCCTGCAGGGGCACAGAAGACCATTGTTTCTTTAAAGGAATCCAGTTGGGCTCCAATGAGGAAGGAATCCCTGACTTAAATCCTACGCATTTGATCCAGGAATAATGTGGGAAGGAAAAATTAGTTACTGCTATAATTTTCTCTGTATAAAATTGGGTAACCTTGTGTACACACAGAGGTAGTTGCTCTTGCTCAGGAGGGGGTCTCATTTCAAGATACTCTAGATTTTGTATTCCCCTATGGACCAGGTAAGTGATATTAGAGGCAACAAGAGGGAGATGGGAATTTTAGAAACAGCTTCAGCTGGTAATGCATCACTTGAACCCAATACTAATGGTGTAGGTTCTGAGGTCCCATGTTGGTGTCCAGTCTCCATCTAGGATCTGAGTGAAGTTTGTAACTGGATGTGCAAAGGGGTCACCATGGTCCACAGAGGATCTGGCCCTGGGAAGACAGAGCCAGCAATCAGCTGCATGAGTCGAGGTAGCCAAGGTCTCTGCTATTCTGACCAAACTGTTGTCCTCCCAGCCTAGATAGGGGAAAACAACTGAGTTAATGAAAACATAAAATCTCTCATTGTGCTTTCCTGAACAGGTATTTTAAGTCCCCTAAGGGTCATGATGTCCATGTGGGAGAAGGAGCTTCTGCCAAGTCTCTTGGGCTGTTCTTCTCTCTAGTGTGGTGTGGACCCAGGGTTTCATTCCAGAGAGCTTCAGAGATGTGTGAGTTGTCTGAAGCATGTCATAGGCCCTGGCCATTTTGCTCCCAGTTGGTGCTCTGGCCCCTGTTCTTTCCAAATTTTGAGTAGCACCTGGTCCCCAGACTGCAAGGGATGCAGTGGTGATTCCGAATTTGGAGGGGACCTGGTTGAAGTATACTCATGCACAGTGGTTCATATTTGACTGATCTGTTGCACACGCTGCTTTAGTCTAGTTTCTCCTGTTATCACCATATCCTCCCCTTTCCCTTGGGCCAGGA